TTTTATTTAAAGAAAGTGCAGGTGACCTCAAAAAGGAGGCCTGAAAGGTTGAGAAAAAGTGTGGGTGTCCTCAGGAGGCGTGCTGAAAGGTTGGGGGTTCCCCCTTTTAAGGATTTTTCAGGAACGTGACAAAAGGCTACAGGGTGTAGACTTGTTAAGTGGTCTCAAGATATTTATCTTGGGTGAGAGACATTAAGTCTCTTCTCTTCCATTATCAGTTCTCTAGGTAATTCTGCAAAATTAACACAAGCAATGTACTGATTCAGTTCTTCCCCAGGATAGCAGGTTCTCTCTGGGACCACATCAATCAAGACAGCCTGCCCTGCCTCCAAGGTGGGCTGAGTTATTGTCTGTTTCCTAAAGAATAAGTTAAGAATCTTACTTCTTAACTTCATGGGTTTTAAAGTGCAATCTTAACTTTAAGATGGAATCTTCCCTGTTTTTACTATGCTGTTTATATCTGGGCTTGTTTGCTAAATTAATCATAATGCTTGTCTCCTGCCCAGGTTAGATTACTTGATTAGGCGCCAGAGGAAAAAAACAGCATATACGTTAAGTTAAAGAGTGCTAGGCCTTTTAGCAGACTAAAATAAATCTTACAATGGCATGATCCAACTGACACAATGAAGATATGGGCTGGGCTCAGATACTTTTCTTTATCTGGGGAATATTTGGACTTTCCAAGTTACTCCCTGCCTTTGGAGCTTCAACTGATTAACTCATTAACTCTATGAGTCTTTTCTGGCTCTCTAGTTTTAACTGGTTAACTCTTTGAGTCCCTTCTAGTGGGTTTTACTGGCCTTATTCTCCCTCCACCGCACTTATATCTATCCTTCTACCTAACATGTTCAAAACAAATAAGAAATGAAAAATTGTAAATGTATTTGCAAAGAAGACAAATGTGTATTCTTTATCAATGATGTAATTGCCTACCTTGAGTGCCCAACAGAATCATGTGGAAAAGTGCTAACATGAGAGTTTATAAAATAAGCTGAGTACAGGATGTACTAAGTAAATCCACAAATAAGATCCTATTCACAAAATTAACAAGGAAATGATAATAATTAACAAGGATAATCTACAAGAAGTTATTTAAAAACAATTTGAAAAACTTTAGGAAAAAAACAAAACTTTTTAAGTCCATGTTTCTGAATGAGAAGTCAAATATTTGTTCTTCCTAGCTTATAGTTTTATTGTAATTATGATCAAAATCCATTATAAAAATTTTTCATTAATAATCATTAATATTAATAAAATGTTATTTTAAAATACAACATTTTTTAAAACTTCACAGAACTTAGGCTAAAGCAGAATTTTTAAAAAGAAGATATTAAAACTATCAAATATTAAAATATATTATAAAACTACAAAAAACAAAATAGTGTGGTACTGGTATGAAAGTCAATAGATGGGTTGAAACTAAAATATGTAGCCTAGAAACAAATACCAGTACATAAAATAGTATATAAGGAAAGGTAGCATCTCAAATTAGGGGAGAAAGGGAATATTAGTCAATAGTGCCAGGACAGTTAGTTCAATATGTGGTTAAAAATAAGAGGCAAGTTTGTCTTTTTATATTTTCCATGTATCAAAATAAATTACAGATAGTATAAAAAATGAAAAAAATTAGCAGAAATTTTAGACAAATACTTTCAGCTCTCAGAATTTCCTATATATTCCAAAAGCAGGAAACATAAAGGAAAAGATTTAGAGATTTGATCTCTTATAAATGTCAAATGTAATGAAAGAATTCTGTCAAATGTCTCCTGATTTAATAAAATGGGGTTCCAGGAGAGAATTTCTTTAGTGGCAGGGATAGAAAGGTAATTGTGTGGTTGTTTCCTTTCCCCAGTAATGGTTCTCAAGCAAGTTTGATTATTTTCACAGCATGGTGAAAATTATACCATCCATACTACTGTTCCCAAAAATGACAGACTGCTTTTTACCTTCTAAGATATTCTTCCCTTTTCCTTTCTTACTAGTGAGTCTGCTTTGGTAAGTTTTAGCTGAAAGTGGAAAGCTTGATACTAAAATATAAAAGACTTCCAATAGATGCTGAACAGCCATGCCGATTTTTTAAAAATTAGCTTAGGAATTGAACATCTTTGTTTATAACAAAAGCCAAAGATGATGTTTTAAAAATTAACTGCCATGTCATACTTAATAGTGAAATACTAGTGGCATCCTTATTAAACTCAGGACTGTAGTGATCATGCAGCAGTACTGATACTTCAGTGCTACTTTTGTTGCACAGGTTTGTTAAAGAGAGCAGTTGTATATTTTCCTTGGTTCTTGTCCCTGCTGCAACAAAGAATTGAAGGGCAGAGACACAGTAGTGAACCAGAATAAAAGTTTTATTTAAAGTTATGCACTTAAAGAGAGAGAAAGTGCAGGCGACCTCAGAGAGGAGGTTCCCAGAAAGGTTGAAAAGTTTTATTTAGTTATTGTGAGTTTGTTTTGGAGACACAGGGAAGTCCCAGTACAAGATGAGGAAGGGATAGATTAAAGCAAGAGTGTCAGGGAATGACAGAACAGAGTGATAAAAGAAGTTCAGTAAACTGCTGCTCAGCATGGGACCCATCCCCTGCTAACTCCTTAAGCCAGTGCCAGCTGGCATCCAGTGTCCACTTGGATCTGCAGGGTGTGGGAACTGAGTCCCTACCACCCCAGGATTTGGGGAGCTGCAAAGCACTGGATGGAGTGAGATTACATTCTGTGAACTTCCTCAAGGCAAAGAAAGGAGACTTTCTGGCAGGCTACTAAAAAACATGACAGTATAGCTGCAGTTTCATCCGGGTCACCCAGGCCATGGTAATTTGCAAGCCTGGATCTGAGCTCTCAGCAGCCCCTCCCTACTGACCTGAAATAGGACAGAGTGAAGATTTGAGCTTAAATCCAGAGTATTAGAATGAAATAGCAAAGTAACAAAGACACTACTGGAAAAGCGCAGAGACAAAACATTACAATTTGAGCAGTGAGAAGTTTATTTAAGGCAAAAAGATGCACACTTGGAGAAAGGAAAGTGTGGACAACCTCAGAGAAGAGGCGTGCTAAAAGGTTTAAGTTTTATTTAAAGAGAGAAAGTGTGGGTGACCTAGAAAAGGAGGCCTGAAAGGTTGAGAAAAAGTGTGGGTGTCCTCAGAGAGGAGGCATGCTGAAAGGTTGGGGGTTCTCCCTTTTAAGGATTTTTCAGGAATGTGACAAAAGGCTACAGGGTGTAGACTTGTTAAGTGGTCTCAAGATATTTATCTTTGGTGAGAGACATTAAGTTTCTTCTCTTCTATTATCAGTTCTCTAGGTAATTCTGCAAAATTAACACAAGCAGTGTACTGATCCAGTTCTTCCCCAGGATAGCAGGTTCTCTCTGGGACCATATCAATCAAGACAGCCTGCCCTGCCTCCAAGGTGGGCTGAGTTATTGTCTGTTTCCTAAAGAATAAGTTAAGAATCTTATTTCTTAACTTCATGGGTTTTAAAATGCAATCTTAACTTTAAGATGGAATCTTTCCTGTTTTTACTATGCTGTTTATATCTGGGCTTGTTTGCTAAATTAATCATAATGCTTGTCTCCTGCCCAGGTTAAGGATTACTTGATTAGGGGCCAGAGGAGGAAAAAATAGCATATATGTCAAGTTAAATAGTAAGCTAGGCCTTTTAGCAGACTAAAGTAAATCTTACAACGGCATGATCTAATTGACACAATGAAGACATGGGCTGCGCTCAGATACTTTTCTTTACCTGGGAAATATTTGGGCTTTCCAAGTTACTCCCCGCCTTCGGAGCTTCAACTGATNAACCGAACCATGTGGAAAGTGCTAACATAAGAGTTCAGAAAATAAGCTGAGTATAGGATGTACTAAGTAAATACACAAATAAGATCCTATTCACAGAATCAACAAGGAAATGATAATAATTAACAAGGATAATCTACAAGAAGTTATTTAAAACAATTTGAAAAATTTTAGGAAAAAAACAAAACTTTTTAAGTCCCTGTTTCTGAATGAGGAGTCAAATATTTGTTCTTCCAGCTTATAGTTTTATTGTAATTATCAAAATCCCAGATTATAAAAATTTTTCATTAATAATCATTAATATTAATAAAATGTTATTTTAAAATACATTTTTTAAAACTTCACAGAACTTAGGCGAAAGCAGAATTTTTAAAAAGAAGATATTAAAACTATCAAATATTAAAATACATTATAAAACTACAAAAAACAAAATAGTGTGGTACTGGTATAAAAGTCAATGGATGGGTTGAAACTAAAATATGTAGCCTAGAAACAAATAACAGTACATAAAATAGTATATAAGGAAAAGTAGCATCTCAAATTAGGGGAGAAAGGGAATATTAGTCAATAGTGCCAAGACAGTTGGTTTAATATGTGGTTAAAAATAAGAGGCAAGTTTGTCTTTTTATATCTTCCATGTATCAAAAGAAATTACAGATAGTGTAAAAAATGAAAAAAATTAGTAGAAATTTTAGACAAATACTTTCAGCTCTCAGAATTTCCTATATATTTCAAAAGCAGGAAACATAAAGGAAAAGATTTAGAGATTTGATCTCTTATAAATGTCAAATGTAATGAAAGAATTCTGTCAAATGTCTCTTGATTTAATAAAATGGGGGAAAATTACAAAGGGAAAATAACAAAGATCCGTTTCCTTGATTTATAGGATGTTCTTTTAGATCTATAAGGAAAAGATAAGCAATCTAACAGAGAGGAAAAAAATAGGCAAAGGCTATTAACAGGCAGTTATCAGGAAAAGAAATACAAATGGCTGGTAAATTTGTAAAGATGTTCAACCTTATTATATTCAAGGGTCACAATTCAAAATACCTGTGAAATTAGTTTCAACACATCAGATTGATAAAACCTACAATGCTGGGCCCCCAATGTTTAGAAGGGTTTGGAGCAATAGGACTTTTCAGTACTGTCAATGGGAATGTAAATTGCTTATCCTCTGGGGTGTGCAATTTGGCTTATCTATTAAAAAACTTTTGTAATACACTTTCCCAATCTCAGCAATTCCACTGCTAGGAATCTACCTGCTGGGTATAGGTGCAAAAGTTCAAGATATGTTTGCAAGGATGTTCATAAGATTTAGCAGGACACAAGATAATGCAATCCTAATTTTGAGGGTGTGTGTGCATGCAAACATATGTGTATAAATTGAAGGAATTCAAAGCAAAGTAACTATCAATTTTAGATTCTCCAAGGGACTGAGACTAGACTCAATCTCTGTTTTTGCTGAATTTCCTCTAATTAGGTAATACCTTTATAATCAGAAAAAAAAGAAACACTGCTTTTAGAAAAAAAACTATTTTCAGCACTTGGAGATCACCTCGTTCTACACCCCATCCTTCACCTCCCTTTCCCCCAGCGCTTCCCCTAAGAACAGTGAAGGAATGAATGCCTTTAAGGGTCCTCCTCTCTTCCCCCTCTGGCCTGAGTCACTTGCCAGACATGCTATTATGCCTAGGTTATTCATCAATTAACTGTGAGGTGACCTGAGACTAACCTTCGTACTTCCCAGAGGCATGTGTATTCCTAGCCGATCCCAGGGCCTTTACGAGCCAAGGAGCTCACATGTAGAGACAGGTGGAACTGAACAGCATCCCCTCAGATGTCAGCAGTGCCAAGAAATTAAGACACCAGTACGAGGAACACCAGAAACAGAAGGTGGTGGTTCTAAGGAGTGTTCCACCCATGGGAGGCCCAGCACTTCCCTGTGATACACCTTGCTCCAAGGTGGTCTTCATCTCTTTAATTTTCATGTGGCAAATGTTGAATTTGTTCTGAATTATGACACCATGAATAATTAAACTATTTTGATTTTTTAGGTTGCTGAAGCACATGTGCCTAATTTCATTTTTGATGAGTTCAGAACAGTCCTTTGAGTTTGATTTCTACTTCTTCAATGAAAGGATTGTCCTTCTACTACCACTAAAATGAATTCAGAAATGAAAAGAAACTCAATGGCCCATAGAAACTGCATTTTTTCCCTTCATTGTGGGAAACATCAGACATTCTGGGTAAGATGTATCTCACCGCACTAGTTAATATAATTGTTTAAATCATGGTGTTATATACAATTTATATCATGTAGAAGCAGAACATATTTCTGTACTGCCTCTTATAAATGCTGAATGTAATTGTTATGTATAAATCCATTTAGTTTTATGTTCTAAAGAACTATTTGTGCAACTCCAGATTTTCAGTAAAATAATATTGCCAGTATCCAAAGTTGTCCTTCTTCCTGTGATTCAAAAACTATATATTCCCCTGCAAAAAACCTTGTCTGGAAGGTAAGATTCATATGGTAGGTCTGCTGTACATACCCATGACAGACTGGCAGGTGTATGGCGATAGACAAAGTAGCAGCGAATGTAAAGAACATGTACCATAGAAGGTAATTGGATTCGAAGGCTTGCCATACTCTTACAATCCCGGATATTCTGGGATTCCTAGAAGGGTTTCTAGCATCTCTTCTATAGGACTTATTTCAGCTGCTGCATCCACCCTTTCCTTCCTTCCTCAGCAGCCCGATCCTCACCCCAGCAGCCCTGCCTGGTCGAGGCCGAGCAGAATTCTAAAAGTGATGTTGCCCAGCACCTAAGGAGTTTGGAAGTCAACTTTGGAAGTTCAGCAATCCTATATCCACATGTCAAAAATATCTTGCTATTTTCCATTTGTAATCAGGTAACAGTAACTGCATGATGAGATCTTTAGATCTCTGTGAAAATGGCTCCCCAAAGAAAGCCAGCTGGTAAAGAGGCCAGATCTAGGAAAGTGAGGAGTTTTTCACCGGGAAATAGAACTGCGGGACAAACTAGGGGAGAAAGTGTCCACCATACACTGTGCTATAACAAGGCAGCTGAAACAGGGCAACACATACCAGTTGGAATAACTGCAACTGATTCCACTCGTGATTTGGCTAGAGAAACTTAAAAGCTGAAAAAGAAATTTCTACTATGAAAGCTTTATAAGTCATTTTAGCCATAATCATTAGAATCTGAAGTAGCCCTTTAATATTTCAGGTTATGTATTACTACTCTTTCAGGGGGAACAAATTACTTCAATGGTATTACAGAATTTTCTGAAGTCTTATGATACCTTCTGAATGTCCATAATCCCTTCAAATATACTGTAAACTCAGTAAATTCAAACTGATTTTAAGGCATGGTGGCAGATACTGCAAGTGCTTATTTGTTCATTCACTGTTCCTTGAAGTAACCTTAGCCTGGGTTGTTAACATACAGAGTGAAACTTGTAAAGCCCTTGACTGCTTTCCTGTATGAATGTGCTATTTTCAGACAACTCAGAAAAGAACCTTATCAGATTGCCTCACTAGAAAGATGAGGAAAGGAAGGTCCAGAGACATTAAGGCAACTTCCCCCAAAGTCAGATTTAAGAGAACAGGTTTCCCTGTATATTTTGAAATCCACTTTGGTTTTCTTTTCCATTATCATGAAGCTATGTCAAGAAGTCCAGAACAAGACAAAAAGACATGAGAGTCCATTCTTCATTTTATTGAAGTGACCCACCCACAGTGACTCATCCCAACTACTGAATTTCAAAAGATAAACTGCAGGTCCTTGGTGTTAGCACTAATTTATGGTAACAGTCATTTCCTTTAAACAGTTATTTTCCTTTGCCCTTCATTTTAATTTGCAAATAAAAGTATATATTTACATGTTTATATACAAATAACTTCAAAAACAAATTAATTCCAATCTTAGTCCAAGAGTTTCCACTTTAGAAGTGGTATAGTACTATGCTATATATACCCTTTCCAAAAGTCTCTCAGGACTTGGTGAGTTCCAAATACTCATCCACAAACTGTTCCCCTTTAATAAACCAAGTACTTCATTTCTGAGTAAATTAGAGGAAATATTACAGAACATGCTTTGTACAATATAATACCACTACTGAAAATGGCTCTGGGTTTTGTAATCCAAGGTTCTGATTTAAAGCAAAAATATGTGGCATGGACTGCAACGGCAAAGAAGTGTCCAATTACAACTAGAGGGTTAGGAGACAATCTGTAATAGAAGAAAATATATATGTATTAGTAAGACCCAGAAATTAAAGTTTACTCATAAAAAGACATCCCAGTTATGTATCATCTACAAAGCTAAATACACAGTCTGCATTTTAGAGAACTTTACAAGCTTGTGTCTTCCTGCTGAATTTGATGGCAGGGACAGACAAAAAATGTTTTTTACAAGACACTACTTAGAATATACCTCCGTCAGAGAAGCTAGTAACTCCTCTAAGTATAGTTTATATAAATTCTATGTTTTGAGCTGTTTTCTTTCACTACTCTTGACATCCAGTCTGCAGTACTAGATGGCCTGGCACAGTACTGACATTCAGATTATAGATGAATGAGGAAACACAGAATTTCAATTTTAGACTTTGCCGATAATTATCACTCTACATACATCTGTTTGTCAGAACTATTAGCAAGTTTCTTGAGTCCCTAAACTTCAACCAAATTAAATTTTAAATACAAATTTCTCTTATCCATGGGTTCCATATATCAGAACATTTATTTAAACCCACAGGCCCAAAACAAGCTTCTATTTTAATGAAGGGTTTTAGCTTCACCTACCACCAACTTCTAATCAAAACTGTTTCTCAGAAGTAAAACAAAAGATGAAATACTGCCTTTTTTTCATTTCTCTGAGCTAGTGGATAATAAAAATGGTAGAATGTATATGAAAGATTTGCAGTAATTCATAAACTGAACAGTCCTAAGAAAATTTGCAATTTTTCCCTTGTCACCAAAGCAACTTACACAGAAAGCAGCCCAATGGGACCAGTAACACATTCTCTACCAAGTTTGAAATTAAAAAAAACAAGCTTTTCTTAGTTGATGCAGGGAATCTAAAATAAAAATTTTTTAATTACTCCCAGTCAAACTGTTCACACATTTGTGTTAGGGTGCTAATGATATGTCAGAAAAAATGAAGCTGTAACATATATCAAACTTCATAGATAATTTTTAAAAAATCTAGTCCTGGAATTTTAATGACCGAAAAATTCTTTTAAATTCCATAATCAACATTATGGACAGTAGCTTTACTATGAATATATATACATTTTTATTAATAAATAATTACTATACCAAACATGCAGGTCCTGGAAGTTGTTTAAAAGCTATTTCCTTGATTATATTGTAAATTCATTAAATGATACAAAATATTTTATAAACTTTTTGTTTAAAAATACAATTCTAGAAACCAAATTCCCAATCACTCAAATGCCCAGCTTGTATCTCTGAAATAATAATAATGCCTTTTATTGGTATAGTATTTTAGGCTTTTCAAAGTAATTCATTAAACCCTCACAACATAGCATGATCGATCAGTAACCTTTTTAATAGTTAAGCATTAATGTTCTTTTCAGGTATGCCTACATTTGTATTTACAACAGAAAGAAAGAGGATGCGCTAGGCAAACTTTTATTCCAATAAAGCTCTTCCCTCCTCTAACTCTCATTATTTTCTTTATGTTGTTTTGTTGGCAGATTCAAATTCATAATGTAAGACACTCAAGAGCTTACAAAAGCTTAGGAAGAAGAGCTTAGAAAGACTCAAAACTTAGTATTCTTTTTACTTCCCCAACCAACCGTTTTAACTTCCATTCCAAGTAGCAAGGAAGGAGTAACTGGCAAATCACAATCAATGAGTTATGGAGGCTACCGAAGGCATTTGTACAGTATCATCCTTTGTAATCAGATCACCAAAGGGTGGATCACTAGGGCCTCATCTGGGTCACAGAAATAGCTTTGTTGTCGATATATGAAGTAATGGGATTTGAGTTACATGTTTTCTTGGAAACCTAAAGGTCTAGCTTCATTAGCCTACCATTAACTAATTTGTATGCTGCTGTAGTTGTCTTTTTCTCCATCTCTAACACTGCTTCTGCTAGGTCATGTTCTCCTTAATACACAGATCGATTATCAACTCACTACAATATGTTAACAAAAACAAAAGCATGAGAATATTCAAATGACTAAAAGGTGGATGCATTTTGCTTCTTGGGCATGGTTATTTTATAAAATGTAAGCTTCACATTCATTTTATAAAATACTACTTTGAGAAGAAATTGAAACTAGTATCAGAAAGAAATATTAACAATGGCATTATATTTCAATTCATGGCCAGAAAGATCGATCCATCACAACCTTATGCATTTGGGGATATGTATGGTCCGATTGGGACCAGAGGAATTAATAACAGTGAATTATTGAGGTATTGTTATTAAGGTTGTCCAAGAGAAGACAATAGCCTTCCACACAAAGTAGTGGATATATGATGATTAGAAGCTAAAAATCTTACTCAAGGATGGAGTTAAAGGACTATGAACTTGTGAGTCTGCAAACTCAGGAAACATTTCTATTTGACCTAATCACTAACTTTTGAAAATTAAGTTCCCTCCCTGTGCTAAAAATTTGCAATTCAGTAATGTTCATTAAAAAATATCTACACTTACCATCTGGAGCAGAAAATAATTCATAAAGAGCCTGAGCAAGGATATTCACAACAAAAGAATGAGACATTTTTCTTGTCCAATAGAATGATTTTTTGGCCAAAAAAGAAAAAGATCACTTATTATATGGTAACGGGGGAAAAAAAGAACAAACTGCTGTTTACCTTAAACTGTTATTTACCCTATGCCTTATGTTCAGCATTTACACACACACACATTTCCAGAGCAATGAGTTATGACTCTGAAACTAAATTCACAATCACTATGGGCAAAGCGAGCCATGCAAGCCAATGTTATATAACACCCAAATACAGAAATTGAGAAGATCTGTGAGATTCACCAGTAGCAAGTCAGGGTCTGTAAGCCTCAACAGACTGCCTAAGAAGCATTACTAAGGATCAGACTCCTAGGTACTTTCCTCCAGCAAAGTCCCATTCCTCTGAAGGTCCAGAAAGAAATCTGTTTTGAGACATTTTTGCCAAAGAGTAAATTTAGTATCTTACCTGGAAAACAGCAGCATCATTATAAAGGTCAGGAATACCAGTTAGCGTGTTTCTCCACAGCTTAATGTCTTTAAAGACAACAGTCATCTCACCCCTGTAAGAGGGTGCCTCATGTTGTAGGCATCTCCCAAAAGAAGAACCCCTGTAAAGAGAATGTCTGGGTCATGGCACCATCTGAGTGCATCCCTTAAGGCAGAAGCTGCTCTACTAATTTACAAATGTTACGAATGAGAGCTAGACAATTAGAGTGTGAAAACACAAAGGAACAAATGATAAGTTTGCTGAGGCAAAATTTCCAAGGGTTGGCTCAGTTAATAGTTCCTGTGTACCTACCATGCGCCAGACAGTGGGAATACAGTGAGAACAAGAGCATGTTTCCCACCCTTATGAAACTCACACATGAATCAAAGGGGAAGTCAAAGTCAAAATGTTTGTTTATAAGGCCTTTCGTGACAAAAAAAGTACCTATAGGCAGCCAGGCATAAAAAGCAAGTCTTCGAAAGAAAAAAGCAAATCAAAAGATCTCTAACATTTCACTTCAAAGGTTATACTTCAAACTAAAAAAAAAAACAATAGGCAGCTATTCCAAACCCATCAGAAGTTAATTTAGGAGAATGTAAACCTGGACTGAATCTTATCCGAAATCTTACCCTTGAGTCAAAGCAGAAGAAGGAAGCTCCCAGTTTGACTCAAGGTGCACCTCCTGACTGAGCTGCCTGACACTGAGATTCCCAGTCTGTTGTCAGACTGGTTAGACCTAGGACTTAGATTTTAAAAAGCACTTAATAATTTTGTCTGTGAGAGAAATTAAGACAACAATAATAACAGTGCTGAGGTGGTAAAATTATGGATAATTTTGTTCTGTAATGTCACAATATACTACATAACTACGGAATATGTTAATATGTATTAATTTACAAAAAAGTAGCTTCTAAATTTAATTCAATTTTTTACATATTACTTGAATACCTTCACTAAAAAACCATAAATTATAACTAGCTTTTATTCCTCCTTCTCCATGGAACAGTCCTCATCCCTCCAACTGGGATATGTTCCCACAGCAGGTTGTTAATATTGTTTTGGCATTGGCTTCATTCCCCTTTGCATATGGTTTATTGACATGACTGAGAGTTCATTATGCTTGTTTTTATGCAGCAAATTACAATCTGTTTAAGTTCAGTAACTACAGCATATTGACAGCTCCCATTCAGACCTCTCTTTGAAGCTCCCCACTCAGGTTTTTAATGGTGCTCCCTCCACATGACACCTCCAAATGCCTACCGGCTCACTTCATGCCCAGTATGTCCAAAAGTGAACTCACCACTTCTCCCCACACTTCCCTAAACTTACATTCTTTTTCCTTTCTTTCCAGTGGCAGCAAATAGCTGGCCAAATTATCTAAGCTTGAAACCTGGAATCCACTAAGAGGCTTCACTCTCCCTTACTATATTATCCAGTTAATCATGGAGTTTCATGCATTCTACGTCCTAGATATTTCCCAAATCCATTCCCTACCTTCCATTTTTATTGCCACATCCTAGTTTAGGCCTTTCATTATCACTGATAGGGAGTAATTAAATAGTCTTACTATTAGCTTTAGTCTGAATGAACTTTCAACCAAATGACCCTCCACAACATATCAGAGTAATTATCTCTAAAATAAAAATCTTACCATGACACTATCATGTTTTAAACTTTTCAATGAACTGTTAGAACAAATGAGTTCTGCAAGATTTTGAGATACAAGATACATATGTGAAAATCAATTTTATGTCTATACACTAGCAATGAAGCATCTTGAAATTAAGAAAACAAGTTCATTTACAGTAGTATCAAAAGGAGTGAAATACTTGGGAGTAAATTTAACAAAAGAAATGTAAAACACTCTGAAAACTATGGAATGTTGTTGAAAGAAACTTACATTTATAGTCAACTGAATTTTGACAAGAGCGCCAAGGAACTCCAAAGGGGAAAGAACAGTCTTTTCAACCAGTGGTGCTGGGACAACCCTGGACCCCTTCTTCACACCATACACAAAACTTAATCCAAAATGGATCAAACACCTAAATGTAATAGCTAAAACTATGGAAGTCTTCATAGGAATCAATCTTTATGACCTTGGGTTAGGCAAAGCCTTTATAGATAATAGCATCAAAAGCATGAGTGGCAAGAAAAACAAATCAAAACTAGACCTCATGAAAGTTAAAAACATCAAGAAGTGAAAAGACAGTCCATGGAATGAGAGAAAAGTTTTATACATCATATATCTAATAAGGGACTTATTTCTTGAATATATAAGGAACTCTTAGAACTCAACGATAAAAACTTCCAAATTTGTCCAGTTAAAAAAATGTGCAAAGTCTGAAAGGACATTTACACAAGTGGCCAATAAACACATGAAAAGATGTTCAAAATCATTACCCATCAGATAAATGCAAATCAAAACCACAAAGAGATATCACTTCATACTTACTAAGATGGTTATGAGCAAAAAGACAGATAACATGTGTTGTGAAAGATGTAAAGAAATCAGAACCCTCATATATTACTAACAGGAATGCAAAATGGGCAGCCACTTTGGAAAACAGTTTAGCAGTTCCTCAAAGAGGTAAACAGAGTCAACATATAACCCCAAAATTCTACTCCTAAATATACACCATGAAAAATGAAAATATATGTCCACAAAAACTTGTACACAGATATTCACAGCAGCATTGTTCATAACTATAATTGGAAACAACCCAAATGTTTATCTGATGAATGGATAATCAAAACAAAGTATATCCACACATGGAATATTATTTGCTTATAAAAGCAAATGAAGGACAAATACATGTTACAACATGGATCAGCCTCAAAAAAGCCACTTAAAAAGGACCATATATTATATGATTTCATTTATAGAAAATGTCCAGAATAGGCAAATCTATAGAGATAAAAAGCAGATTAGTGGTTGACTAGGGCTGGGGGTTAGAAGGAAATGAGGAAGGCTGCTCATGGGTACAGGACTTCTTCTTGGGGTGATAAAAATGTTCTAAAATTGACTGTGGTAATGGTTGTAAATACCTGTGAATATACTGGAAACTAATGAACTGTACACTTTAAATGGGTAAACTATATAATTTGTGAATTATATCTCACTAAAGTAATTTTACTGAGGTATAAAACTTTTAAATGGCTTCTAGAAAAACCTTTTCAATGACTTTCCATCGTCTATAGTATTAAACTAAACTTTCAGTAAGTATCTTACCTTTCTTCTACTCTGACACCTATCCTTTGCCCCAGCCATGGGCAACCTGAGTTCACTGAAAGTGCCACCATTCCTCAGTCCTCCTGGCCTTTGTGGATACTATCCCACGTACTCAGAAGTCCCTCATCTCACTGTGCAACTCATGAACTCCCACTCGTCCCTCAGGCCCCAACTCCAGCTTCACTCCCTGAGCAGTATCTTCCCTCACCACCCTTCCCAGGTCACAGGCTCCCCTCCCTGCCTTGCAGCTCCCTTCACGGTGAATCAGTGGTTCCGAGAGCAGGCTTCTATCATTACAGCATTTATCAACGGTGTTCTGAAATTACCTTCACTAGAAAACTGCGTTCTCTAGACTATATGTAACTGTTGTAGCCTCAATAGCTAGCACAGTGACTTGTATACACTCAATATTAAATAATAAAGATATAAAATTAATCTTGATTATTAGTAACATATTAATCCACAGTAACCAATTCTCTGTCCCACAAGTTATTCCCAGCAGTATAATCACATATGGCATTTGGAATACTGAAATTGAGTATTTGGAATATCCTTTATAAAATCAGTCCAATAAAAGAATACCTCGTTTGTTTACTGGTGAAGAAGGAAGGAAGCTTGCTGGCATAGCTCTCAAATGAGAATCCTGAGTGGCTTCTAGGAATGGTTCTTTCAGGTGATCTGCAAGAAATCCCACCCCACCATATAAATGGCTTAACATTTCAATATCAAATTATCACATTTTCTTATCAAGTATAAACAAATACCTGCTATATGTCTGTTATGGTTGTCACATATATCCTTGGTGACAAATCAAAAACTAATTATTTCAATAATAAATTGTTCACTATGTACCTAGTTATTCATGCTGAAAAAAAAGGAATCTAAGAGAAAATTAATGTAAATCAATATATATCCAGTTGAATGAACAAAAAACTAGAGAAAGAGTGAAGCAAATTTAGATGAAATGGGACAAGGAGAAAAACCACCTGCCCCTCCTCCGAATGTTAACTGATAGGTGTCATATTTAACAATTTATGGTCACCACCATATTCAGATTAAATATACCACCAATTCAGAAACAGCAGGAGAGTATGTACAGTAGAAAAAGGATAAGATGTAGAGAGCTCTACCTGAGCTTCAATTTCTTCATCTATAAAATGAATGGATTGGATTAGCTCATCTCTGAGATACTTCCCAGTTTTAAAGTTTTGTGCTTCTACTTGTATAGAAAATGAACTTTCTTTTCATATAGTTCTCATTGTAATCTGGGAATACAGGAACAGAATGCCTAGTACTGAAATTATTCTATTCCTTAAGGAGTAGAATTTCAATAATCTAATATTAACATAAACCTGTAAATGGTTTTTCCTTCCATGATCTTAGGGCAGTCTGCTCCAACTAACCTCTGAATTGGAAAAAACAATCTATAGTAAAAGAAAAAAAATGCTAAGAATATCATGATACTGACTATCCTTTTCCTAAATATGCCTAACTCATTTTTCCATCTGAAATCTTCAAAAATGTCTTAACTGAGTGAAAATGTATTGAAATGTTGAAAATGTCATTATTAAAAATCTAAATTGATCCATCTATACCTTCATTTCTGTTAATACTCTGTTATAAAAGAGTGCTTTTGCTTAGTTAAAAAAAACTTGAAAAAAGAACATTTAAAAAAAATTCACTTATACCAAGGATTGTTTCCTATTACTATATTACTATAATCATATAATTAGCAAGCAGGACTTCCCTTCAATTTTTCCAATATTCTTAATAATTTTTTACATTCTTTTCTTACCTGTATCTTCCCATTCTCAAAAAAAAAATCAGAATATAATTTTTGTGTCTGCAATCTCATGAAGCCTTTCTGTATTCAACTCAAAACTAAAAATCATCTTAAAGACTCCTTATAGCTTTCATGTTCTGAGGGCAAGGATGTATTAGCCAGGCAGACCTGGTTTCAAACTTGGCTGTGCCACTTCCTAATAGTTTGTTCTTGGAGAAGCCAAGTAACCTCTCCAAATCTTAGTTCCCTTATGTGTAAAATGGGGGTAATGATAATGCCTACCTCAGAGGGTGGTTGGTAGATTAAATGAAATTGTGTTTTCTTAAATAGTAGACATTCAATAAGTGGTAGCTAGCATTTCTACAAAAGCTAAGCACAAAAATAATTAAACATAAGACTTTAGGTTGCTCTTCAGACTACCTTAAAAAGTACCATATATGCCAATATTAGTATTCTAAAAACTATGCTTTGTTAATATGAATAGATTGAAACTTTTTTTTAACTTTGCAATTTTATGTGCTAAATGGTTCAGCTCAGAGTACCTGACTGACTAGATGCATTTTTTCATGCGCCATCCTTACCTCTGGCCCAATTTAGACACAGCTTTAGTGAAAACTGGAGATGGAGAACCTTTTGTGAAATTTGCTTTCAGGCTGTAGATTACAATGGGAAATGAAATCTTTTCTTACCAGGTAATTGTGGGTAAATTTTTTCGACCATGTATTCTCTTAAATTCCTTGGCATTTCTCCTCGAATGTCAACAAGTACTCGAGTTTCATTAGATGAAATCTGGTAGATGAGAACTGGGCTTGGGTTAGCTAAAATAAGTTCAGCATGATGTGCCTTAAATTGTGGTGCATTCTAGGGAAGAAATAAAATATTTTAACAATTTTCAAATTTCAAGTTGCCTTTATTTTTCTACAATTACATTCGTACAGTACCTTCATAAGAAAGCCAACAAAATGAGATAAAACAGAAACTTTACTGGAGGTCAGGTTTTTCCTGAACTTGGAAAAAAGTCCATCTGCAACAACAGTCAATGGAGCGTGCAGTTCCTACAGCAAACATAAAGCATATTCAGCTAAGTGGTTAGAAATACAGAGGAAAAGGACTGTTCCTTCAAAATGTGCATGAACAAATTTAAATATATAATCAGACAACATTATAGAGGCTATTTGAAGATAATGCTTTGAGGAAACTATTTTATGGGCTTAAGTTAATGCATGACCAATCTTCAGAGGTACGTCATCTGAATCCCTAAGGATCACCATCCTTCAAAGCTCTACCATTCAAACCATCTGGGATTAGGCTACACTTTAATAAACAACTACTAAGCAAGCATGGATCATGAAAAACTGAATCTCATTACAAATTTCAAGTACAAGCCAGATATTTTTATTCTAGAATTTTCAAACCTCATACAGTGCTTTCCATCAGTGGCTAGGGCTTAGGAGAATTCTGTATACATGAATTATGTATAAAATTAAATATACAATACAAATGTAATGATAAAAAAACATATTGTGCAGTTAAAGCCCATTTTGTTCAAGGATAAACTGTACTGGAAACTAATTCTATTTCCCCAGAGAATCTCTTACTTGTACCTTTCTGATGTAAATAATTGTTTATTTTATCCTAATACTTTCTTTTATAGTGAATCCTTCCTTTTCCACCTTCCAGTTCCCCTCTGCTTCTCTGCTAGGGTATATTTCTCATGTCCGGTTTTAATACTGTTAATATAGTGGGGTTTGCTTATGAAGTTATTTGTATAGCAATGTGTTGCAATCTAAAATCCATCTTATTGCAGAGGGCTTGGAGGGAACTCAGTCCATTTGAGAAATAAGAAATTGCTGAGCCTGCTTTTTTAAAGGAGGAGAAGAACAAGAGGAAAAGAACCTCTTAGAAGAGCTACCATTTGATATATCGCACCTTGATGTCTCCGGTTTCTTTATCTTTGTACTGAACTCCCACTACAGCATCATCTTCTTCTAATAACTGCAGCACAATGCCCTCGATAAACTTTGTACTAAAAGATAAATAGAAATCAATTCTATAAGAGCACATTTGAGTCATTTAAATGACGAATCATAAACTCCTTAATTCTTATCTCCAGTTTGCTCTTGTAAACTAGACACACATGCTTTGTGAACACATGTCCACAGAAAAGGTCTAGAATGACAAAAAGCAAAAACATCATTAATGAGTTTTAGAATTATGTGTAGTATTTTCTAATTTCCTAAAATTGAAGACATGTTACGAATGTAATGATTAAAAGAATATTTTTTAAAATAATAGATTTTTATCTCAATTCATTAAAAAATAAAATACATGCAGACAGTTTTACATACCCACACAGATTCATACCCAGATTGGAAAATACAACCGGACTTTATCCACCAAATATTCATACTAGTTACTTCTAGTGAGAAGGATCATGGATAATTTTTATAGTCTTCTTTATGATATTCTTAACAAAGGCACTGAAGATCTAACATTCTTCTAACTTATGGTTAACATAATATCTATATTCCAGCCTATACCCAAACACTCACAAAAATTTATAATAGTGTGTTGACAAAGGCCAAGGTTAAATGTGTTCTTTAACATTACATCTTTGAAGCTGGAGTCTTACTTGGGCTCTGCCATGGCTGCTTTCCGAAGACTCATGATCAATCCTCCACGATGGAAAGCTCTTCCGCTCTGCACTTGATTGTTTTCCGATAGAGGGTAAGGAATTTGAACCTCTGACTTGCTTTCTTGATCTTGAATTATGTAGCCATGTACAACCTGGGGATCAGTACCTTCTACGTCATCTGCAAAACTATTCAGTTCAAAAATACCGATTTCATTAACGTGCCCAGAATTCTACTAGGCACCAAGAGGACAAGGAGGCATTGAAAATGAGTCTCTGTCTTCATCAAGCTATGAGACCGTTTGGAAGACTGGACATTAATGTATTTTGAAATCTTAATGCTTCTGGAAAAGTACACAAATATCCTAAAAAGTTGCCAATTAGCAATATCTTCCATTTGGATCTCAGTAAATTGCCAGTCTTTACTCAGATGTTAGTAAAGTTTGTAAAAAAAATACTAGATGTTTGAAGCCCATCTAGTATTTCTATAATGTTTTGTCCAACTACTAAGATAGCTTGTTTTTCTCAACCCGTAACTGTATTACAGATGTACTTTATATGCTAAAACTGACCAATTTAGAACACACCAGAAAATGTAAAAAGGATAGCAGCATAATAAAATTTTGCCTTGGGTAAACTATCTTAAGTACATAAATAAGGTCTAATTTAAGATTTCTGGGACATGTCTCTATCTCAACTTTATTGATGGAATCAAATACGACAGACTTTGGACACTTAAACAGGCAGAAAGACAGAACCTTAAACTTCAATGAAATTCATGCTTCAAGAATAATAGATATTAATAATTTAGAAGCCAGTGACATTAACTACAGTTATCACTAGCCATTAATCATAGGGCTCCATAATTGTGATATTTGACTACTTACTGGTTAATATATCAGATAAAGTAACATGGAAAACACTCTTCCACATTAAAAAGTACAGAACTGCTTTCCATTAAAAAGCAAGCGAAAAAGCAAAAACAAAAAACCATATATGCAAAACATGAAGAGCAACTTCAAAGTCAAACCAGTAAGCAAGTTTTAAAGGCAACAGCATAAGGGTATCAAAACTACAAGCCAAGAAAGCTAGAGTTGTAAAGGGCACTCCTGGAAAGCAAGTAAGGGTCTCATATGCAAGGGACATTGGAATTTCACACCATATATAAATTTCTTGTCAATAAAATAAAGATCACAAAAACTCAATTCAATGACCTGAGACATGACATGGAATTAAGCCATCTACCCAGGACATGACCCATAAGAAATCCAAACATAACTTTGTGCTCAAACTGAGTATATAGTGCATATTAAAATATGTATCATTTATGAAAGCCCAAATATAAACCAGAGTCAAGGAATAAATATAAGAAAAGATATGGAGGATTTATGAAACTTTAAATACATTAAAGACCTAACTGAATGCAGGGTATACCACATTCATGAATAAGAAATTCAAATCAATTTTTCAAAATTGAGCTATAGATTCAGTATTTTTTGAGTCATAATCTTGACAGGGTTTTTTAGTTTCATGGAAATTGAGAACCTAATTATAAATTATATACAGAAAAGCAAAAAGACCAAGTAAAGTCAAGATGATCCTATAGAAAATGAGGTGAGGAGGAGGTCCCCCATTAATTACTGAGACTTCGATACATAAAGATAAAGCATTTAAATTATAATATTCATTTTAAGAGTTCTAGATATTAATCTTAAGCCAAAGGACAATCAGTTCACTTAATAAAAACCCACACTCCATGAGGGATAAGTCCATATTATATAAAAAGTCCATGCTCCAAAAAGTAACTATTCAAAGTGTTTCTATATTCCATATCTCACACCTGAGGGGAAATTAATAGCATAAGGAAGATTAAAAGGACTTGATACTAAAGGATTTATGGTATGTGGACTAGCTAAAATACTTCATAGGTTCTCTGACACTTGATGAACTACATATAACAATCCATTGAGGCTTGTGCCATAACCTTGGAGTTGTCTCCTGAGGCCAGATCTCTAAAGAATATAGTTGGAGAGCATTTCTGGTTGCCTCATGGTCAACTAGAAAGGTAACGATCCTTCTCAGCAGTGTGTCACCCTGGCCTCAGGAAATCTCTTGTAAACTGGTGGTTTGGAAACCCATAAGGACAGAGATGGAATCTCCCTTCTTCATAAGGCACTCTCTCCACATGGGTCCTTACCCAGTAGTCTTTTGCTTTTCCTCCTCACCGACTGCTCCTTCTCGGTCCCCTTTTCTAGTTCCTGCTCACCTCACTGATCTCCAGATAGTAGAGTTCCCCAGGGTTCATTCCTGGAATGGTAATGTCTTCTAGTCTCATTTAAATTCTAGGACACCTCTCTCTCATACCAAACATTGACATCAGTAAGTCCTGCTGACTCTTCCTTTAAAATACATTTCCAGAATGTACTCACTTCCCACACCTCTACTGCTATGACCCTGTTCCAGTCTAGCAACTCTCATTGATTCTGCAATAACCTCCTAACAAGTCTCCTTGCTTCTGACCTTGCCACTTTATGATCTATTCTTTTTTCTACACAATAACAAGAATACTTGGAATATTGTTAATCATCCTTCTAAAATGTGACATTGAATAATTCTTCTTAAAATTCTCCAAAGGCTTCCATGTGGAGTCAAAGCCAAATCCATACAGTACGTTACAAAGACCTTTTAGAATCCAGCCCCGATAATCGACCTGACCTTTTCTCTAACTATTCTCACTCCAGTCAACACCACTCTCTCTCCTCACTCTTTTAAGAGGCCGGGCTTGCTCCTCCCCCAGGCTTTTCCCTTGATATTTTTTCTTGCCCCATATATCAAGGGCAACTCTCTTACCTCCTTCCATTCTTTACTCAAATATCATCTCTCAAAGAGGCTTTCCCTTCCCCAACCACATTATTTAAAATCACATAGCTCCCTATCTCCCTTTTTTCCAAAGTCCTTATAACCATTAACATATATTCTTAATTTTATTTTTACCTTTTATCACCAGCCTCCAAACTACCCACTAGAATGTGTACTTTCTGATGGCTGGGATAATTTTCTGTTTTGTTCACCACTGTAGCCTCAGCATCTAGAACAGTATCTATAATATGATCAATGCCTAATAGATATTTGTTGAATGAATGAATGAATGTCAGTTCTTTAGTCACCTCCCTCTCTTGCATTATCGCGTTCTGCCTCACTACTTTCAACGTCACCAAACATCCTGTGGTATCAAGATGCACCTCCTTTGCCTTCACATCCACATCTCACTACTGCCCTATTTCTGTTTTTTATTAGTGAAAAACTCCTCGAGAGTAGTTTTCTATTCTCCAATTTTTTAATCTCCCACTCACATCAGTCTGATTTTGTCTCCACAACTCCACCGCAACATCTCAATGTCACAAGCAAATTCCAAGTTGCCAAATCCAATGGCTGTTTTTCTATACTCATCTTACCTGACTTTGAATAGCAAACCAGGACACATCTGTCCTTTCCTTTATTGATACATACCCACTCCTCCTACTAGAAACATTCTCCTCTCTTGGATTAAGTGACACCAAACCCTGTGGCTTTCTTCTGCCATTCTGCCAGCTACTTCAAAGTCGCTTGTACACTGTCTTCTTCAAAAGTCAGCCTGGATTGGTTTATTCTGTTTTCTCTTTTCTCCCTACATGATCTCCTTAAATGGTTTTAATCATTGCTGTGGCTTTTAAGTGCTACAAGTATGCTGACATCTCTGAAATTTCTAACTCCAGCTCAAACCTCTCCTCTGCACTCCAGATTCATATATTTAACATGTTCACTTGATCTCAATGTCCTCCAAATTTCCTCCAACACCTGTTCCTCAACAGGTCATCTTCCTGTCAGCAAATGGTACCATTACCTACTGGTTGTTCAAACCAGAACCTAGGAATCATTTCTAATACCTCCCTCTTCCTTCTATCTCACACCAATTCTTCAGTGACTCTTGCCATTTCTGCCTCTTAATTTTATTGTGCATCAGTCCACTTCTCTTTATATCCTCTGCTACCTTGCTAGTCCAAACCACCATTATCTATTGTTTGAACTTAGCAATGAGTCCCCACTAGACTCCTTGCTTTGATTCTTGCTACTCCCACTGCCGCAATCTTAGTCTACTCACCACATCATATCCATGTATTCTTTCAAAATAGCATTCTACAAACTGCAGGGTATGATCAGTGATAAATTGTGAAATGAGTTTCAACCTGTGAATTGTATACTTGGGTAAAATGACAAGTATTTATAAAGTAAAATAAAACAAATTTCATTCCAATTTAAATATTACACGTATGTACTGAGGATGGTCAATGTGTTTGTTACTGTAAGTAGCTGTCAAAAGTTTAAGCCACTTTATAGAGGCATAATCCAGATCACATCACCTCCTACTCTACCTACAAAACTGTACAAAGCGGTATCTGCTTACCTCTCCAACCTTAATCTCAAGCCACTCTCTGTAACCCATCACTCAGTACTTTCTACCTACACTGGTGTCCTTGTTGGTTCCTTGAATAAAATAGCAAATATTTACACAGTGCCTACTACATACCAGGCACTGTTCTGAATGCTTTGCATATAGGAATTCATTTAATTCTCATTAACAACCTATGAGGCAAGGACTCTTAGTATGGCCATTTTACAGATGAGGGAACCAATACACAAGAGTTTCAAAACTTAGCCAAGGTCATACAGCTTTTTAAGCACCTGAGCTGGTATTCAAAACAGGCAATCTAGTTTCAGCATCAATGCTCATAATTACTCCAGCATTCCACCTACCACATATGCCAAGCAAGCTCTTTCTCAGTTCATAGCCTAGACATATCTTGTACTCTGATCCTCAAGAGTATAGTTGATCTGTTTTGTTCCCCAGTATAAATCTGGTATTCAGTACAGCACCTCACAAAGTGGACAGTGAATAAGTATACCCTAAATAAATAGTTAAGGGCTTAAAAAGCATTGGCTTAATGGATGAATGATGCTTAAATAAAAGATTCTACAACAGGCACATAATAATATGCAGTCTACACATGATAGTCCCCTTCACCTTTCCCTAAAGTTTATGCCCTCATTCTATTTTTCCAGTCCTTCATTTTGATTATTACAATTTTTCAGCCACTTCATTGTATCTCACTAAGTCTACTTCATGTCTTCTCATACTACTAAATGCTTTTTTTCTCCTTTGCTCTCATTTTCATGGAAATTTGTTGGTAAATGAGTACAGTAACTTTTATAAAGAAAACAGAATACATTTTTACCATCGCAGGATAGAGTACAGTGCAGAGTGCTTGTTTGCAGTCATAACTCCTAAAGATCAATATGAACCTACCTTCAAGTCCAAGGTCTTTAAGGACGGGATAACCACCTGGCTGCAGAAATTCTCCAACTATCCTGTCAGGCTCTTTTAAATCTCTCTCAATTACTGACACCTTTCTTCCATCTCTGGAAAGGACTGCTGCCAAAGCAGAGCCAAGGACACCAGATCCCACAATGATAACTTCTGGATCATTTTGAGAAGATGTTGATGCAGAGGCTGCTGCTCCTATCAAGGCTGTTTCTGAAATACCGGCTCCTTTTTTGCGCTGGTTAAAAAAAAGAAAAAGTGAATTACGTATCCATATGTGTTATCCTTAAATCATACTACTACTATATAGACACACTGGACTTTTGCATCTTGAGCAAAAGCTTTACCTTAAACAGCAAAGTCAAATGAACTATGAAATCTTTAAATACAGGTCATATATAAAAACCAATGATACAAAATACTGGCTAAAGAAAAATGTATAATATTATCCCAATAAGAGTAAGTTTAATATTTATATATAATAATGTATTACTAATAATATGTAATACATAACATATAGACTATATAATTATATATAATAATATATTCTGTTTTCTCAATATATTTAGAAAATGCTGTTCTACAGACGTATTTAGAAATCCACACCAGGCCAAATATAAAAAATACTTTTAAGGGGCTTCCAGGACTATTATAGGGAAATTCCACAATTAATTATTCAATTCTTCAAATACATACCGAAGATCTACAAAATGCAAGCCATGTACAACTTCTGATACGACTTCACGTTGCAAACTATTCAGCACCTTTTAGGTACTTCCACTATTCATCTTAATTTTCTCCTTCGAGGTTTTCATCTGAACATCTATCTTAACCTAAAATCACTTTTATATAATGAAAAGACTGTCAAATCCTGGCTACTAATCTACTAATTGGGAATTATTTAACACAACAAAATTCCAAAGGAGTAAAATGACTATTTATCCTTTGGAATTCAACCTGATCACAATTTTATTTCCTTAACATATAAGAACATATTTAATTTACCCTTTCCTTTTCTTCTGATACTCTAAAGAGGGCCTGATCTAACATCTGGTCCTCCAATGTATAAATAAATATTAAACCTATTCCTTGCTGGGCTGACAGTAAAAACTTTACTTGATCATAAGATGACTTTTTCATGAAAAAGGCCTGTTTTGAGAGATTTATGCCCATTGAGAGTAACAGCGAGAGTGGGTTTTTCTTTTCAATGAATAATTCAATATTGTAATAAGTATTTTTTTCTTGGTATATGGATTCACAAGTGGGAATGTATTTCAGATACAGAATTCCAAGAAACCGTCTTTCTTGAGTTCTCTGACCTTAACGATTAAAATAAGATCAAATGCCATTTTCAAAGGGTTTTAATAAGTCCCAAGGCAAAAAGCTAAAACCATTTAAATAAAAGACTTAACCTTCTAAAAGATAAAACCCAAAACCTTTTAGAATTTTAATTCTCTGTGATTTTAATATCCATCCAGTCTTCCTTTATCTCTATAATGGACTGGGGCATTGTCCACTCCATTTTTAATAATTTCTCTTGGAGAAATCACCTTTTTGTCCTTTAAAGAGAAGATAATAGAGTTGACTCTTCCCATCAGTATTTCTTAATGACCAGAGCTGATTATCCTTAAATTACTGTTCACAGAGCAAAATAAGGCCCTTTTCTCCTCTTAGCTATTTTTTAATAGTTTTTCTTCCTAAAATTTCCCTGTTAAACACACACACACACACACACACACACACACACACACACACATACACACTTGGAAGGTCAGAATGGGAAGCACTAGTGGGAACTCAGTACTCAATACACAGCCTACCAACTCTGGTGTTTAGAAAATGAGCATAAAGTCTGAGGCATTCACAAAGTGAAACCCATTACTGACTACTGGTGATCCAATTCCCAAGTTATCTCAGACAATACCAAAGTATTCAAATTGAGAATTAAAGATTCCCTCCCCTTCCTTTTCCATTCCTCCAACCCACACCCATCATGTGTCACGGAATTCAGCACTACTCAAATGTGCCTAACAGATGTGTACTACCTTTAGACTAGTATTAATAGCTGCTATTTATTAGACAGTTATGAACCAGGCATTTTCCAAACATTAAATCATTTAATTCCCTAACAGCAGGCTATGCCACCCCCATCTAACAGAAAAGGTAAAAACTGATTCTTACAGAAACTAAGGTCTTCCAAAGGTCTGACAGCCAGAAGTGATGGAGCAAAAATTCTAGACCAAGTCCTCTGTTCTGTAAGCCTTGCTCATTTGTGTAAGTAATGTAGACACAGAACCCTAAGAGCAAATTACTTGCAGGCCACTCACCCCAACTCCAGATCATCATTATCCCCACCTGGCCCACTATTTGGGCTCTCTGACCTGATATCCCTGCTTCCATTCTTGTACTCCTACAATCCACTCTCCAAACAGTAACCAGAATGCTTTTAAAAACTAAAAATCAAATATTGTTACTCCCATGCTTAAAAATCCCCCCAGTGCTCTTGTGGAAAATCCAAACATCCATGGCCAACAGGCCTTATATATTCTGGCCTCAAAGATCTCCCTCATCCCTTACCACTGTCCCCTTCGCTGCTGTCTTCCCAGGGATTCTCATACTAAACATCACGTGAAAAACAGCCTTTGATTTAGGAACATGACTGAACTCTGGACAGTAGCCAATTACTCACTTGATTTAGTATATTACTACACCGATTTACTCCAATTATTCACTTGATTTAGGATATTACCACACTGATTTACTCAAAGCTCCGTTAATGTGGGGAGAGGAGGGTGTTTTGTCCAAGACTAAAGTGCTGAGCATTTTTACTGTGCCAGCTCTTCCAACTGTTCTGTCACTTCCCCCAACAATCACTTCTTACAAGCAGCAAACTTTACCTGCAGGTTTCTTCTCAGGTACAAACACAATTTTTACCCTAAAACATTTGTTTTTACATCACAGAAAGTGATTCTGTCCTCCTTCAAAATGAAATTCTAACATTTCCTTTCACCTTTCAAAATCAAATCAATATTCATAATCAATTTCATTTAGGTTGGCCCAACCAAATGAAACAAATGTTTTCAATCATCCCTAACGGTGTCAAGGATGCAGCCACAAACAGTCAAAGACTTAAAAAGAAAAACTGAGAATTCGTATCACTGTATCTAAATTATTGCCTTTTCCCCTTAAGGAGAGTGACCCCAATCCTAATTTAAAATAAGATACTCATTTGTTTGACCACTTTGAATTCAACCTACCCGCCTGGACTCAAGCTGCTCTTTATTTTCTGATCCAGGAGGGGATTTGGCCCAGAAGAAGCCAATGAAGGGCAAGGCTGACATAATATCCGAGAAGACGGCAAACTGGGACCCGCTCCGCTGGCGCCCGAGGGAGATCCCGTTTCCGTAGCGACAAAGGTACGAGAGCACCAGGCCCAGCGAGAGGAACACCAGCACGCACAGCAGGAGCTCCTTGTTGGCCAAGGAGACGAAGTCTCCGCATTTCTTATAAAAATAGGTGAAAGTAGCAATGCCAAGAAAAGTGCACATGGTTCCAAGGCTACTTGGGTGACTCTGGGTCCGTGTTGGGATCCTTTTTTTCCTTGTAGGGTTTGGGTGATGACAGGTTTTCCCCGAAATGCTACCAAAAGGAGCACAAGAAACCGGCCAAACTCCAGTAAATACCGTAAAAAAAAACCAGGATTGCAGTTCAAATCAGAGCTATTTACAAAATCATATAAAGTTATTACTACAAAAGTATCTGAAGACAGGAAAGTTGTCCAGGACTTAGAAAGCAGTATTTAAAAATCGCCTACTCCAACAGCACCCGACCGGGCTCTCCTCTTTCAGCCAATCCATTTATTTCCTTTTCTCTTGTTTCCTGGATGGGTTTTTCCTGGGGGTTATTGCAGGTGCTGTTTTTAATTTTGATGTTGGCTCCTAGTGCTGAAAAACCTTTCTCTCTCACCAGCAGCAGGTGCCCTTTCAGAAGACGGTGAGGGGTAAAAAAAAAAATCAAAGAAATCTTGGCGCTGCGAGAAAGGTGGCCTCGCCTCCTGAGACCGCGATGCCCGGGCCGGGCTGGCAAGCGCGGAGTACGACTCGCCCCCCTTCGGGCGGCCAGGCTACGCGGCCCAGGTGGAAATTCTGGGCTGCCGTCTCCCACCAAAGATGGCCTCGGCTTCACCACTGCGGCTCCGGCGCAGGGAGGGGCAACCCCTGCTGAAAATCTCCCCACATCAGGCTCCTATACACCAGCCCCCGAACCTTCCAGTCCGCGATTCCGTTTCCCCGCAGGTGAACGGCGATCTCCAGACAACTTCCCTTAGAGGGCGGCGACTCCCGATGGCCTGTTCGCCAACATCCCAAGCTCCGGCGCCGCCGCGCTAGTAACCAGAGTAACCAGCTGAGCTCCGGAGGCTTGTCACCCACCCCGCGCGCCCCGCGGCCCAAAGGCTCCGCCCAGGCGAGGGACCAGGGGGCGGGGCTAAAGGAGGAGGGCCCGCCCCGCCCTGCGCGCAGGCCTCGCCCGCCGCCGCCGGCGGCCAGTGAGGGCGCCCACCGCTCATATGCCGAGAAGGCGCAAATCGCCGTTTGGTCAATCGCGGACGCCGTTGCCAGATCGGGGACGCCAGGTGAGGCGCTAGGGCGATGTTGCGTGATGGTGTAGGGTGGGACTGCGCTCGGGGGGCCCTGCCACCTGGTGGGCTGATCGGAGGGCTTGATTTGGCTCCGGCGGAGGTGGGGTTCGAGGGGTTCGTGCCCTCGGGTCCGCCTTCAGGTTTTTGGCTGCAGCTCCCGCTGCTGGGGTCCTTCCTACACAGGGAGAGGCAGAGTTGGTGCCGAGGACGCCCCTGCGCCACCTAAAGTCGAGATGTTTCCATTCATTCCGTGGACTTTACTGAGCGCTTACTACAATGCCATCCCGGGGCCACAGGGATGAATCAGACACAACCTTTTTGTCCGGTGCCTAGTGTGTGTAGAACCTAGACGGCGGTAGAAAGAGCTACCGGTATGTGGAGAACCGGGCGCTCAAGCTGAATCTGGAAGGACGAGTAGGCAGCAATTGCCAGAAGAAAGGAAGAAGAGATGGTGTGCCGGGTTTTCCCTTCCTCTTCCCCAAATTGTCAGGCAACTACGCACTTGTCGTTGTGCTCAGGCTAAAGACACCCTGATGCTCTTAGCCCCGTTCTCTCAAGATAAGAAACGTGGGAATGGGCGTGGGAGGACGAACGTGAAATAGAGATGTGCCTTAAGTGCCCGGAGAAACTGGGTAGACAGGGAACCATGGAAACCGGAGGCTGTCTTTCACTCGCCCTGGAGGGAGGCTGGGAAAGTCTCCGAGGAAGTTGCATGTACCCAAGACAAGCATTCTGGAGGAAACAGTAAAAGAGTGTGAGTCAAAAGGTGAGAGACAGCCCTTGTTATGAAACGATGAAACCTCCCCAGGATTTACTGACTCCTGATAACAGTGCCTTTGCTGACCTAGACTGCCTTGCCTACTTTAAACTCTATGACTTCATGTACAAATTCTGCCCTCTGGAGCACTGCTGAATTGTCACCTTTTCCATCAGGTCTCCACTGACCCACACCAAGTCACATGATAGTTTATTGATACCTATTATCCCAATCTCTGACTACACCTGTAAGTTAAGCTTTATCATCCCACTCATCCTTGAGGGAAGGCCCTCTGATGAATCAGAATCACCCACAGCACCTAACACGTGTTGCACTTAATTTATCCTCCATAACAAAGTTTTGATGAATGATGAATGATAGGTAGTAGGAAGACCAGATGACTTGAATCAGGAGAACTAGATTCTGGCAGCCACTAACCAGCTTTGTGACCTTGGACAAGTCAAAAGTCAGTCAGCCTCTTGAGGGAAAGGTCAGTATCTCCATGAAATCTAAATTCTTTGCAATCCTGAACCTGACACTTTGCTGAGTTCAAGATAGTATGGCACCTGCCATCATTTTTCATCCCAAATATTGTATGTTTTATCTGCTAATAAAATATTTTACATGTCAAAACATTTTCTCAGGTGTCATTTGACTCTCAAAATCACCTTGATTTTAAAAAAATACCAAACATGAAACTTAAAGTGCCTTGGCCAAATCACAGCTTGTAAGTGATGAAACCAAAAGTTAAACTCCTACTCTCCAAATTCATGTTCCCCAATACTCTTAACTATCAATAACTGCTTTAACTTTCCTCTATCATAAAACCAAGACTTTCTCTCCCTAGCAATATTGCTCAATGTTACCAACAAATTCAGCTGTTTGAAATATATATGTAATTCAAAAGCATTCATGAAATAATCAGTTTAATGTGTGGGAAATCATTTTCCTGAAGACAAATCTTCAATACACTGCTTGTTGGTACCTTGAGTTCCTATATTGCTAAAATTCTAGAAGGCATCTGACTCTTACAGATGAAAACACAGTATCACCTGGATGATTGTTACTTGATTGTCATATTTGAGATTATCATAGGATTGTTTCCTTTTTAAGTAATTTAAAAATCTTTTGAAAGCCACTTCATCTGTTTACAGTCCAAGATCCACGTCTGTACTTGGGGCAAAAAGAACATTTGTAATGCCTAGCATAGGGCGCACCCTGAATGCTTATATTGCCTGGGCTTAATTAAAGGCTATATAACCATCACTCAAGTATGTTTTAATCTTTGCATGGCTCCACTTCTTCAAAAACAAAAATCTGTCACTCAGGCTAGCAATATGACACAAAGTTAGCCACTTACTGACTGAAAGTAATAAACTACAGAGTAAATTCATCAGAAATATTTTGGTAGTCACGACAAGAGCTAATACTTATATAGTACAGGCAGTGGTCTAAATGCTTTCTTCATATATTAGCTCATTTTGTCCTCACAATCACATTATCAGGCAGGTACAGTTTTAGCCCCATTCTATAGACAAGGAAACCAATGTGCAGAGAACTGGTCACATAGCTAGAGACTGAATCCAAGCTGAGGACTCTAGGAATGTTTAAGTAGAATGTGGGTTTTTTTCCTCCGCATACAAATATCATACCTTAAAACAAACAAAAAAGCCCATGTGCTCTTTTCACTACATTGCTTAACTGCTTGTCATCTCTTTTGACATAATTTGGCATGCCAGGCCTCAACTGTGTCTCTTGAAGTGCCATTCTCAAGGCAGGAAGAAGCCTTGCCCTCCTTTCTTCAACTATCCGTTCTCTAAAATCCACATTAATCATCATCTCTTTCTTTTCAAGTTTTCATAACTCCACCTCTTTGTCATACCAGTCACCAATTCTTAATTAGCAATTTACATATAACTTCAACTTCTTAAGGGAACGACTGTCTTATTCATAGGTGGATTCTCAGCACTTAGTATATGGTAAGCATTTTTCAATGTATTAAATGCAACCTTTCCTTTCTTCATTTTATCCCTTTTTGTTGTTGTTTTGATACCAAACTGAGCAATTCCTTTTTCACTCTTTTTATTTGTTACACATTAGAAACACATACACTGAAACCCTCAAAACTTTCTTCCTATTGTGTTGTCCAAAAAGACTTTTAAGACCAGTTATTTGTTCTAGATCCCCCTCAGTACTTATGTAATCTTTTGCAAATTCTAGTTGCAAGTGGAGACAATTACATTAATTTTGAACTTTCATTTTCTTTCTCCCCTTCAGTACTACTTGTAAAGCCATAATTAGCATATACATCAAAGCAATTCAATGTAATAATATGTAACAACTGTCCACTTTGTAACAGGCATTATGCTTAGAGTTGGGAGTAAAGCAGTGAACAGAGCAGACAGTACCTCTCATTTGAGAGTTAGTTTAATGGAGAAAACAGCAGCAATCAGGTCAAGATGACATTGTCCAAAAAAGAGCAAGTACACATTGCTCTGGAGGGTAAGGGCAGATAAACTAACCGAGGGGTCAAGGACGGCCACCCAGAGGAAATTACCCTTACACTGAGGTTTGAGAATTCATAGGAGTAACCAGGTGTATAACCTCTGACATGGCAGTGACCACACCTGACATATTTTTTCCCTTTCCCAAGTGTTTGTGTCTGTGGATGTTTGTTTCCTTTACCAAAACTCTAAAGCCTGCAGCCAACAATACAAGTTTTTTATTGAATTGTTGATGACAGTAGGATAGGAAAGATGAGGATTCTAATCATCTAAGCAGTCTAACCTGATAAGCCTCCTTCCAGCTTTTCCCTCAACATAAGTTGTAGAAACATTTGCCAAACCTGAATTTACTTTAGTCATTTGGTGTGCCCTTCATTTTCTGACTCAGATGACAGTAGGTATTGCACTAAGCTAGACAGCCCTTCCTCTTAGCAAGAAGAAAAAAGAATGAAAAATAGAAGAATGAAAGGAGCTAGACAGCCCTTCCTCTTAGCACTTCCCAGGCTTTGGGCCTCTCTGCATTTCCCCAGCTCCTTAGAACAGCTTCCAGCACCACCTACTGCGATTGTGCCCATGGCCGCACAAGGAAAAGCCCAAATAGTTCTTAAAATCAATGATTCAACCCAAGTGACTCTCAGCGGATCCTAACCCAAGACAGGGGGAAGGAAGGCTTAAAAAAACAGGAAAAAAAATAACCAAACAAGCTACCTTAAAAGAGATTTTCATCATTTAAATGTATGGGCCTCAAATCACCTTTTTTCCCCTAGCCCCTCTGAAAGGTGTTTAACAAAATTATTTCACTGAGGTAATTTAAATTGATAACTATCTTAGGAAAGTGATTAAGCAATATGCCTTTAAAAACATTTTTGCCCTTTCACTCAATATATCACTTCCCTGAACTCACTCTAAGGAAATAATTTGAGATATCCAATAAGACTTGTGTACCAACAAAAATCAAAAAAGCAAAACCAAACAATCAGAAGCACAATATCAAAACATAAGCATAACAACCAAAAACACATTGATCACAGTAATGTTATTTTAAATAGCAAAAAATTAGAAACAATATAAACATCCAACATCAGAACAATTAAATGATTATCATACACCATTCAGTGTATTATTATGAAGATATTAAAAACCTCCTAATTTAAAACAGATGAATGGACAAATGATGTAAGATTGGGAAAAATCAAAACACAATACTATATATTTATGCCATACGATCCAATTTTTAAAAAATATTCAGATAAATCCTTAGAAAAGAGGTTATAGGGGAGGATCTGCAAACTTTCTGGTGAGTGAGCTGTGGAAAAAATAGTCACAGTTCATTTTTATTTTAGTCTTCATACTTTTATGTATTTCCTACTTTATACTTCTCTATATTTCACAGTTATCAAGCATTACTTGAATGATCGGAAAGTAAGCTATTTGCAAAGGAAAATCTTTCGCCTGTGTTTGTCAGTATAATTAACTGATATTTTCTTTAATCTGCCCGTTTGTCCATATGACCCAGCGTGGCTCAAAATTAATCATGATCCTTTTTCAACCAAAGCTCCCACTTCATCCCTCACTGTGTCAAATCCTAGAAGATCTAATGATTTGACCAGTCAAGCATTATTGTATCAGCAACCTAGCTATCTTAGCACCAACAAGCTACCTGTTTCTCAGTGGCTATGTGCCCACGGAGTCATGATTGCCAGCATCCTGTTTCCATCTATATCTTTGTAAACAAGCATTTGGACCAGCCTTAGCCCTGACTTGATTCCTACTTCATTGGGTGGGGAAGAGGGAGGACAAGGGGAACAAAATAAAAGGTAGAAGAAGAAAGCCTAAATTTAGGTTAGAATATGGATGGACAAGGCAGAAGAGGTCAGGGCCAGACAGAGTTATGAGAACAAAAATGAAATAAAATACATAGGGGAGTGAAAGGAAGGGTAATTTTTGGACAGAAAAGGCAACTATTTGCCATATAATAATAATGATGTGCTACATTATTAGCCTACACACTCTTGGTCATACCCCTTCATGTTAATGGAATAAACTATAACAAAAGGATTGCACCATTTTAGTGGCCACAGAGGACACCCATGTCTCTGAGGCCACCTTCAAAGATGATGCAAAGATCCATGGTTGTCTAGAGCCACTGTGTGATGGTGATAATAGATAACATTGAGTGATTACTAGGTACCAACAATGCTAAGCACATGGCATACATTATTTCACTGATCCTTACAACAAATCCATGAGCTAAATGTTATTAATATCTTTTAGAAACCTAGAAATAATTGACCAAGAAATAATCGAACATTTCTGTACCTAGAGAGTATCCTTAGCAAAATGATGAGCAAATAAGGGTGGACAGGTAAGGAAAATAGTATTTCCTTAATGCCTATGATCTGACTGGTACCTCACCTCATTCACCACTTACCAAATCTTACAAAGTACAGAGTCCAAAAATAGTGACTGAAACATGACTTTGAAACAGGTTTTGAACCTGTCCTAGATAGTCTGAATCAAAAGCCCAGGGTCTTGCCTCCATCCATAAGACTGAACAACTGGGACATTGCAGGATTCCTCTAGGGTTAGTGTGAGGATAGACCTAGCATCCTAGGGCAGCAACTTTCACTTCCAACCAGCCCAGCCTCTGTGGACTGGACAAGTAAAGGTGTTAAAGAGGCCTGCAGGGACACCGAGGCTATGTAGCCTAATCCAGTAGACTTCATCCATTGGTGAATACCCCTCAACCAAAACCAATAAACACTTCACACACCAGGCTTTGTGTTGGGATTACAAAAATGGAATCCATTCTCTACACTCAAGGAAATGACTATCTACTAGGAATGCACATCCTGTAAGGACATACTCTTGGACGTTAGTGTAAAACAGGTAAAGCATATTTCACCCATTCAATAACTATTGAGCACCACTGTGTGCAAAGTATTGTGTCAAACCTCACCAAGCTTGCATTTTCAGAAAGCAAACCTAACCACTTTAATCCTTGGTGAATTCTAGCTCCTTGGATTATCAAACTATTAAAATTTGAAGATGGAAGGTTAGCATGTTAGTATAGTTCAAGAACTGGCAAGGAGGAAGTAGTCATCTGAAAAGCTGCACATTTCCCTACTACCACCAGTCCATCCTTTCCTTAGCCCTTCTTACTGTCACTGGACCTCTGCTAAACACAGATTAGGCATCACGTAAACTGTTGTTGAATGAATGGATGACTGTATTGTTTGAAAGGAGTTATATAAACCCAAATACAGAATAAAGAAGAAAAGATAATTTTCCCATGGCCATGATTTCAGAAAGTGAGAGACTGGCGAAGATCGTGGAGTAATGTATTAGGGGCAGAAGTCACAGACCACACTCCCTACCTCTCACCATGAATGAGGGAACTTCTACAGCACTGAGAAGAATGTCCATTTGGTAGATCCAACTTGGATGACTTGCAATGATGGGAGTACCTTTACCTCAGATACTATTATACATTTGTTTGTATGTCTTCCGGCAAGCTATACAGCAGCTAGGGAGTGAGTTCCCTGCTATATTGTGAGTATATGCATCGACATGGATTTCCCTACTCCACTGTAGGAAAAAAACATATAAGCCCCTTCTTTGAGTAGTAAAAAATGAACATAGGAGTCTTTCCTTTAGTTAAAAAGAAACTGAAACAAATCACTTGTAAGTAAGAATGCTTTATTTATTCAGTTGCTGAATCCTTTGTGACGGCAAGAGAAATAGAGAATACAAAAATACTTCTTGGGGAGCTAAACAAGGAATGTATTTGCTGATCAATGAAATAGAGGCAAAGGCATCAAATATGGTTAAATTTCACTATGTTATGCTCTCCACCATAAACAACAAATGTCTTTTGTTTTCCTAGTTTTCAATCCCAAGAGACAATGAATCTTGACAAATTGTTTTACTAATGAAGCCCATCTTAACACACCTAAAATTTGAATGTCTATATTCCCATACACATCAATGTCTATGAAATAGGTTTTATGTAATTGTGGGCAATAGTGTAGTTGATGATGACAGGACATAAACTACCTGTTGTTAAGCTTTTCAGTTACAAATTAACTTAAACTGAACTTGCTATTTTGCTCTTACCTGACTTAAAACTGAGTCTTTTGTTTCATGAACAATAAAAATTTTCAACACTCTGAATCAAATAAAAGTGTTTTAACAGTCTGCCAATGTGACACACAACACAGTCTTGTGCTTTTACATAACTTATTCCTCAGTGTTACTGAGGTTGGTCATAAAAAATCTGCAATAGAACAAGTTGCGGCTGTATTGCTACTTAGAAAATACGTGGAGGACGTTTTTCAATTTGTTTCAATTAATAAGGATCAATGACAACTTATGTAGACCCTGTTACGTTTTAAGCACTGTGCTAGCTGCTTTGCAAACATCTATCTAATCCTTACAGAAGCCCTGCAAGGTCCTCATTATCTCTGCTTTACAGATGAGAAAACAGGGACAGAGTACTTACTTGCCACACTTAATGTGGCTCATAATTGGGCACCCCCCACCCCAACAGCAATTACTGCCTTGAAATTGAATATCAGCCCCAACAGCAAACACCCAAATTTAATTTTCAAACATCAAACTCTTAGTTCTGAACACTTGTCCTCAGGTATTATAGGTTAAGACAATTTGGGCAATGCTACATAATATACAAAGGTAAAAAGATGCTTAGGTGAGGGTCACATAAAAGCCAGTGATGCCCAATAAAGTTCTCCCAGTGTTTGAAAGCAGAAAATCACCCCAAATACTACTTAAATACCTTTATCGGTTAGCTTTTGCATTACTTTAAAATTTTGTAACAGTAAAAAAAGACACGATTACCTCGCCAATATCAGGCACACTACAATCATGAAAGAAGAAATAATCCCATGCAGTTCAGTTACTGGCCAGATCTCAGCCTTTGCAGCAGCTCCGCATTCCTAATTTGTAACTACATGTTCTGCATATGATACACTTAGAATTGTAAAATGAAAAAAAATCCTCAACAACTCAGGAGTCTTGACCTTCCTACACATCTACCTTTTGCACTGGCAGAAAAAAATAGAGGCTGGGAGTATAGGAAATATCTTAACATTTTACAAACATATTGGACAGACGGGCAGGGAGAACAGGTCTGAGTTATCAGATCTATACACCACATGAAAGAGACAAAAGAAAACTGCAGAGACTAGAACTAAGGAATCTCAGTTTCCAATGCCAAACTGTCCCTGCACACTGGCTCAGACTCAGTGGGTGGATTATTAGAAAAATAACCCAGTTTCTGATCTGACAAGAAAACATGTAATAGAAAAACTGAGGGGAATGGACAATTTATCAACAATTTAAAAACAAAATTTACGAATCCTACCTCCTAATCTGGCTTTGGCCAAGACAATGAACGGTGTATCACTAGATAACCAAGATGGGTTGAACATAAAACATACAATCATTAGAATAGCCAATCTCTAGACCCAGTGCCTTCAAAACTCTAGCCTATTTCTACACTATATTGCAATTCCTCTTAGAAACCAGAAACACCATAGCACATTTCATACAGTCTTATAGGAAATTTTTATGAATCTGCCAAGAACGATGACCTTGGAAGAAAAACTTTTTTGTGATATCCAATAAAGCAGCCACTAGTCATATGTGACTAGTATAAATAAGGAAGTGGATTTTAAGTTTCTTTTGATCTTAATGTAAATTTAAATTTAAATAACTATCATTGGACAATGCAGTTCTAGATATTAATTTTCAGCAAATAAAAATGCATTTTTAAAAAAAGACTCATTTCTTTAAGACACAACAAAACAGCCAGGAAATCACATTATTTGTTCAAAAAGAATCTTTCTCTGAGTAAATCCCTGAGTAGTAATGATTTATTGCCACCAAATCAGGCATGAGGAAATAAGGGAATTCAATGGCAATCTCAGCTTCAACCTCTCAGGTGTCTGCATTCCCAGGATTTCTCATGTATTCCTTTGAAGCTATTCCTATCTTTCTTAAAAATAAAAAAATAAAATCTTCTCCATCTGTGGCAGTACTCTCCCTGGGCAGATCCAATGACCTGGTGATCTGGGCCTTCCCATCCTCTAAACTTCATAGCACCATGATCAGAGAACACCTTAATTGTCATGGTTCAATAAAAAAAAGGGAAAGAAAACAGGCTTTGGCACTAAGAAGAAGAAAAATCAGGAACTGAAAAAGAAGAAATGAGGGCCATTCCCCCTAAACAGTTTTTCCAAGTCCATTTATGAGGAAAATCTTCAACTTCAGGAGACTCAAAAAGCTTTTCTATATGAATTTTCCGATGCTGGGATAGGCACTTCTGTTGAAACATTTCTCACAGTCAGTACATTTTTAAGGTTTTCTCCTAGGTGGGTCCTCTGGTGCCTGATAAGGTTAAAGCTTTGACTGAAGCATTCACCACAATCAGGACATTTATAAGGTTTCTCTCCTGTGTGAGTCCTTTGATGAATCACCAACGTGGAACTCTGACTAAAAGTTTTCCAACACTCAGAACATCTGTAAGGTTTGTCTCCTGTATGTGTTCTCTGATGTCTAATGAGATGGGAGCTGAGGCCAAAGCTCTTTCCACATTCCCAACATTTATATGGCTTCTCTCCTGGTTGGATTCTGCATTCTCCTATCATACTGCCATTTTGACTCAAATTTTCTTCAAATTCAGAACTTTCATAGAGTTTCACTCCTATATGCATTTTCTGGTGTGTAATAAGGCTTAACTTCAACTGAATTTCTTTCCGCATTCTGTACATTGATAGGGTTTTTCTCCTATATGTATTCTCTCATGCTTTATTAGAGTAGAATTACAACCAAAGCTTTTTCCACTCAAGACATTTGTAGGGCTTCTCACCTGTGTGTGTCCGCTGGTGGCAAATCAGGCTGGAACTCTGACTAAAACTTTTCCCACAGTTGGGGCACTTATAAGGCTTTTCTCCAGTGTGAATCCTCTGATGTTCTATTAGGACATAACTATGGCTGAAGCATTTCCCACAAACAGGACATTCATATGGTTTTTCACCTGTATGTGACCTATGATGCTGAATGAGGTGAGAGCTGCTACTGAAACTCTTCCCACAGTCAGGACACTTACAGTTTCTCTCCTGTGTGAGTTCTTTCATGAATAATAAGATGTGAGGTATTGCTGAAGCTTTTCCCACATTCTCCACACCGGTAGGGCTTTTCTCCTGTGTGTGTTCTCAGATGCTGAATCAGGTGAGAGCTGTTACTAAAGCATTTCCCACACTCAGAGCATTTATAAGGTTTTTCTGAGTGGGTCCTCTGGTGTGTACACAAATGAGAACTATTATTGAAACTTTTCCAACATTTGGAACATTTGTAGGGTTTGTCTCTGAAAGAGGAGATCTGCTGGACAGAGGCAATGCAGTGTTCTGGATCCCATCCCCAGTGACTGGGTTTCTCCTCCTCTTTTCCTGTTGAATTTCCTTGATTCTGTGGGTTGCCATTGTTCTCATAGGAATCATCACCTCTTTAAGTTGATCTCCTTTACAGTTATTGTGTTGAATGGTTTCCAAATTATCCTTCCTTTCATTTCCTGCAAGAATAAACAAATATTCTAACATATTCCCTAATCTCTGCCAGGGGAAGGAAATTCTAAGTTGCAACAGAGGAGAGGAAATAACAAAGTAGAGCTTCATAAATTATTTTATGTTCATTATTTTAAAGCTAGTTTTTACTTCTTTTACTCTGTGTTCATCAGAAGCAGGTGAATTTTTTATACTTAGTAACAATACTAATGAAGTTTTGTATGATTGTCAGCAATTGCCAAGGGGGATACCAATCTAAAAATAGTTTCCTTAAACTTTATTAGAAGACTGAAAAGAAAAAAAGGGATCTGAACTAGGGGAGAAACTGAATAAGCTACATTCTGAGATGAAAAAAGACAATACCTTAGTTAAAATCTGAGCAAATATAGGAATAACAATCATGCCCATTATTCATTAAGAAATAAATAAATTTGTACATGGTATCTCATTAATCCTGAAAAATATGTGAGACAGATATTAACATTCACTTAAACATGAAAAAAGTGAGGTTGTAAGAGTTACTATAGCTTGTAAGTGACATAGCAGGGACTCAGATTAAAGTTTCTCTCATTCTAATGTCCTAGTCTTTCTATGTACTCTGTAGCACATCTTAAGATGAATCTCCAAAGGATTCATATCATCTTCTTGACCCCTCACCTGTAAAAGGGCTTTTCAAATTCTCCCTTTCCATGAAGCCATTAGAATCTGAGACCAATAGTTTTTGTTCTTTCTCCATCACAGTGATCACAGCCAGGTTAGGGATCACAAATCCTGTGGAGGGAAAGAGGTTAGGTTTGCAGGCATTTGTTAAAATTTATTCTTCCTTCCTTCCTTCCCAACCATTGTAACATAACAATTGTAGGCACACAATGGTTTGTGAACCATCCTCAAAATAAGAAACACAGTCTTTAGAAGTCCTTTTAGAAAATCTTATCTCAGATGCCAAGTGTTTAGAATTAAGGGTTAATCCAATTTACCTTTTCTAAGGAAATAACAATAAAAAATTCAATTTCACATTAAAGTCTGTGCATCAAGCTTCAAAACTGGAATGCTAATATTCACTGTCCACTCAGAGATCAAAAACATTTATAATTGAAGAAACAAATTTGTTTTGTGGATAAAGCACCAAAAAGACTTTAAAGAATCAATACGCCACTATAAATAGCAGCTACAGAGAAAGCACACTGTATAGAAAGAATAACTTCATCCGTGAAGGAGAACAAAAACTTTGTCAGTTTCAAAAGTTAAGATTTATATAACAAGAAATTAGGACAAAAGAGGGCTGGAATAACCACAGCCAATAACCCCTAAATACAAAAGGGAGGCTAATGAAGGATCTTTTCCTTGTCTCTCTCTAAATTCATAATCACAATATGTCTTTAAGTCTAAACTTTATCTTCTGTAGCTAACTACAATCTCTGACCTACTTTAAGAGACTGAAAAATGTGATCTATCACTGAAAGGCAATATATGGACTTGACATCCATTTCAGGATAAAAAGACTAACATAATACAGGAAAAATGAGAGTCTAAAAGGATACATAAAGGCACACATACGGAAAACAAACAAAAAAAGGTATATTTATCATTTTCACCCTATTACTGCTTCTCATGTGCCAGCCACTGAACTAAATATGTGTATTTCTCATTTAATTCTCACAACAGCCTTCAGAGGTGTATGAACAATAACCAGCATTAGATGAGCAAAAAAGACATTAGAAACTTTCCCACGGGCAAACGGCCACAAAGTGGGAGAGTAGTACTCAGTCCCAGGCCTGTTTGGACATCGTCTTTCACACTTTGATCTATTACAGTAAACTTAGAGCAGGAAACAGAGCGGGGAATAAACCCAAACTGCAAATGATCCTTAAGGAGGACCCTTACTTTGGAATATATTGACTGGATTTCTAAAAAACAGATTTACATTCCAAGACGTTAGGTCAAAGGGAGCTAGCATTCCCTAAGCACCGTCAGCAATTAGGGATTTGTTATCGGAAAAGGTGAAACTAGTCTAAATCACAAATATCCCCAGGGTTTGAGTAGGATAAAAAAAAAAGAACTATACATATTAATTTTTCAAGTGTTCGAATGGAATAGTGTTCCGCCGCCCGAGTTACACGTTTCCATGGAAGTCTTTACAAAGGAAGCCGCGCCATCATTTTCCCTAAGAAACCATTAATTTTGGTAGTAGATGAACCCCCAGGAACAGTGGCTCAGCAAAGCGGTAGCCTACTCAAGGCCATTAACAGTATTAAAAGGCTGTCATTCCACAGAGAAGGGCTGCTTTCAGTGTCTTCAAGCAGAGTGAATAGGATGGGGCCATGCTTGGGATGAGAATGTCTTCCAAAGATGCGCTGCCTGAAACTTAGCTTTAAGAACCATTGACAGGAAGCACAACTGGGGTACACTGCGGGGTAAGTTCCAAGAGACCAGATCCAGCCGACAAGATCCTTTAGGGACCCCGCAGGCGCGGCGGCCTCGCGACGGGTGAGTCTGGGCCCGCGCCCCTCGCAGCAGGGGGTCCCCCTCCGGGCGGACACCGCAGCCTGGGCGCTGCGGCTTCCACTCCTCCTGCCCGCAGCCCTCGACCCGCTTCCCCCCGAGATGGAACTCACTGTTCTGGGCGCTACCCAAAAGGCGCCCTGCACCCCCAGCAGGCCCAGCGCTCCGGGAGGAAGGAGCCTCGGCTCCCTCTGACCCCACCACCCGAGGGTCCCACACTCCCAAACCCGGCGCACGGAGATGGGAAATTTCCCCACCTCCCCGGCTTGGCCCGAGCCTCTCTAGGAAACGGTGCAGGCTCGCTCTCGTTGATCTTAACCCGCAGGGTCCTGGACCTGAAGGAGCGCGCTGGTGGATCGCCGTGCCTTGTGCCCTCTGATGTTGGCGCGCGGTGATTCTCATTCCTCACCCAGAGTCCTTACAGTAGGGGCCCGACTGGAGCTTGTACTTTCCCTTGCCATCAGAGCATCATCGGATTTATCATCACCGTCAGAATAAAAATGAATTATTTCCTAAGCGCCTGTTGTTTCTGTTCCCACCGCTGTGAACCGAGATACACACACACACACACACACACACACACACACACACACACACACA